AACGAGAGTATGATCTAAGAAAAGATTGAGATTAAGGTTGAGATGGGAAGGAGGAGAGGATTTCAAGAGAGACAGAAGATCACTGAGAGTTCTTACATCCGCGACTGGGACCTCACAGAAGCCAAACGAGGCCCACTGATCGTCGAGAGAATAATTAGAGTGATTAGGGTGGACAGACGAGTCCAGACTTCCAGTGATCATCTTCGCGTAATCGAAGTCGGTCCGACCGGTGATCGAGAGCATCAATGGATTGGAATGCTTAGGACTCTGGAGAGATGGAGAGTAGACTGAACAGGTCGGGGGCTTGGATTGTTGCCGCCGGCCGGTTGGGTGGCTTTCCCAGACCACCCGATCACTCTCCAACGATTCTCGTTCTTCCCAGCCCGTCCGATATCCCTGGTTTTCGGCCATCTGATCCGCATTTGGAATGTACAGAATGTGTCCTTCGGTGGTAAATACAAAGGGCTGATCTGCATGGTTGATAGGATTGTCTTCGTCGAACGTGAGGTCTGTCTCCCCATTCAATCACGGAACAAACACTCTCAGATTCACCGAGCTAAGTGTGATCTTTGATTAAAGCTTTTGAGGACGTACATAGATATTTGAGTGTTTCGGACAACATGAATGAATGCTGCCGATCTTCCAGTTTCCCTGTATAAAAAAAAAAGAAAAAGAAAAGGGGCTCAATTCAACAAACTTCATATCGTCAGTAGAGGGAGATAGAGAGACAGACCAGTCAAGAGATTCTCGATCGATGCCAGGCCGCAATCGACCCAAGTCCGATTAACGAGATCAGTGATCACTCGTTCAGCCACTTCCAAATAATACTCATCCTTAGTCGCCCGATACAAAAAGTAATTGCTTTCAACGAATTCAGGCCGGAGAGGATATCCCAATGAGGTAGCTTGTTTTCTGTGGATATCAAAGACTTCTGGGATTCCTGAATATCTATATCAGATGATTACTCCAAGTAAAATAAAATAAAAAGGAGGAGGTAATCAAAGCTTGTAAGGATTGACTACCAGATTTCAATAGTTCAGGTGGGATTCTGCGCACCTGGCCCAAAGATTAGCATACGTCATATGGGATTGAATGGCCGCTTCAATATCTCCAGCTAGGACTTGAAGCCCGGGCCAAAACGCGGATAATGAATCGATGGTAGTTGTGGCGACTGCTCCGGTTTGCATATTCACCCCTCGATACTAAATCAACAAATAAATATAAAACGAAAACAGGGAGATCTCAACACTTGAACATAAAAATTGAAATCAGATATGTCTGTTATATCTGTATCTTTTAAAAGAAAAAAAAAAATTCTCCAATTGCACTAAAAAAAGAGGAGGATACATACCCAGAATCCATCAGGGGATCGCATGTAAGTCATCACTGCTTTATAGGCCTGATTCCAGATTTCTAGGAACGAGTCGTCGGATAATAAGACATGAGACTTGAGGATGTATTCATAAAACGAGTCGATCCCAGCGCCGATGCTTGAGACTCCATACGACCAATGCTACATACAGTCACAATTCAGAAAGAAAAGGGGGGAGGGTTTCTCAAGTGAGTAAATGATCGATCATGATCAAGAAACAGTCCAGTTTTTTTTTCTTATCAAGGAGAATAGATGTGGAGGAGGAGGAGGATTCAAGATTTGAGCCCACACCAGTTTGGATGTCGATCGTATTCCCGAGTAAGTTGATAGAAGACCGGCGATCCCAGAGAGCATAAAACGCCTTCTTGGCCACATTCTGAAGCAGAATGAAGAGTAAGTGAGGTGTGGCTGCCTATTTTGATGAACCAGAGTGGACGAACCTCGTAGATCGGATCGCCAAGCAATCTGCTGAGTGTGGCAAACTCTAGCAATAATGAGCCTGCGCCAGCGGTGCAAGTTTCGGTACCTTCATCCGGCATGAGGCCGTATCTCAGAAGGATCTACAAGAAAAAAAAAGAGATGATATGATGAGTTCCAGGAGTGATTCACATTCAGAAAAAGAAAGAGGGGGAGGGGGGGAGGACTAACGCGAGCATAAGGAATGCCAGTGAAGAGGCGTGAAAAGCGGGCATCAATCGATCGGCGAGATCCTTAGCCAAGAAGAGCAACTGGTCTGCATATGATGATCCCTCCTGCTCATCACCGTTATTGTCGAGACGGAATCCCCAGACGTTCTCGGGATCTTTCGCAAACAGATGGCCGCTCAATAGTCCGCCCAACACTCGGATCGTCGTCTCGAACACTTGGACCTTCGAGTCGATGTCGAAGCTTGGGATGTCTGTCACGATCCGTCGCACCGAGTCTCGGAATCGACCCACATCCCTAAGCGCTACAAATGTGTCCAATACATCAATCAACGTCATCGAAAAATCACCCAGTACGTCGTTCGTCTCGTGGCTGTTCCTGTTTTTTTACAGAGATAGAGAATGTTGATTGATTTCGATCGTTCAATTGGGTCAGTTTTTTTTTTTTTTAGATAATACTCCTTAACAAATCAATGGAAATCACAATCAAGGAGAAAGCTCTTACGGGTGTTCGTGGTCGTGACCAATTCCTTTACAAGACAACGGCCGTAGCTAAGCAGAATTTTTTATTATAGGTCAGATCGAAGTAAGCCAACATCCATTTCAATCCAAACATGGAGACTGGTTGTAGCCCGATCATATAAAGAAAGGAAGTACATACTTCGTCATCTGGATAAGCATGTTTGATGTAATTATCGAAGCCATGATACCAAGTTTTCTTCACCAAATCCCTAACAATCCCCCCCAAAACGAAAAAAAGCAAATCAACAGAAGAGGGATTAGGGAGATGAAGAAATCCAAGAGATGGAAAAAGAAGGAATACCGGAGTTCAAGTTTGCGTTGAGTGGACATTGAAGCGTTCGAGAGGCCGAAGCAGGATGCAAGCGAGAGGGCAGCCATGAGGGCGAGCGAGAGGGTCCATCCGATCGACGGCCCACGACGACGACGACGACGATGATGATGGTCTTGGAGATTAGGAAGTGAAGTAGATTCCCGGGCTTTCCTCGATTTGCTGGTCATCATCAATGTCCGAGGTTCTAATTGGTGGGAAGCCGACCCGGAGGATTCCATCTTCGTCTTTCGGATCTTGGTCTTTGGAATCCCCTGTCGTGCTTCGTCCTGGCCGGTTCAGAGTGGTTCTTGTTGTTGTTGTTGTTGTTGTTGGTGGTGGTGGTGTGTGTGTCAGTGTGGGGCGCATACATGTATCGGACTGGTTGCCCCTCCAGTTTGATCGACTCTCTCTCTCTTTTCGCCTCGATCATACCAATCTCACTCTCAGACTGCTCCTGACTGCTCCCACTTCCCTGCGACACTTCCAAAAAAGAAAAAAAATGAAAATAAAAATAAAAATAAAAAAAATGACATCGTGCAGGCTCTTTAATGGCTCTCTGTCTCTTTCTCTAGCTCTGTACAGCAACGAAGCAATAAGATCACACTCCACACAAGGACTGCTCAAATCGGCCACTCTCATCTCCCATTCTATGCAGTTTATCTGCTCCATCAAAGCACCACATCATCCTAAAATAATAATAATTTCCACCATCCCGTTTGGTTTCCAATGCTCAACACCACATCTTTATGTGGCTTGCAGACTTAAGACAAACCCAGATGGATGATCACTATGATGCCCTCCTCTCCACACTGTCACCACATCCATCCCGACTCAGCAGGATCGATCGTTCATTGAGAAAGAATAAGACCCCGATAAAGCAACTTATATCCGCGGTCGCATCTATACATAATTCTCGAGCCTTTAAACTGGATTCTTGGGACCACCCCACACAAATATCGAAATATACCCCGAGAATTCAGTCCGGAGTCTGGGTGAATCAATGGAACGTCGATTTCCATTCAGACAGGAATCGAGCGCGTGACACTAGCTTGAAACTCCGGCCATGGAAAGGGAAAAAATCCAATCAGAAGGGGTGTGTTTTTCTCATTTGCTCCAATAATAGTTTTCAGGTAAGGGAGTGTGGCA